TTCCGGAAGCGGCCACTGACCCTTTTGGGTCTCTTTTGCTTTACCTGTTATTGTAAATACAAATGTAAATTTAGTATTTCTGTAACCGTCCTGTATTAAACATCGAAACCGAACGCTGTCTATTATCTCGCACGCAAGAAAACAAAGGTCCTTGGAGCAATATCAAAGTACAATTCGGTATCACATTGTCGTATCAACCAGATTACAAAAAATACTGGTAGGACGAGCCGAGTTGCACAAACATTGGTCCTTCGAGACGGATTGCACAAAACATTCGTCCATCGAGTCGGATTATACAAAACAATAAGTCCTGTAAAGTGTTATAAGTACTATGTGTTTAAACATATGATGCTGATTTGCACGAATAAACAAATTAAAACATTTACCAAAGAGCGGTTGCTAACGATGTCAGAAAAAGTGACTCGATTTGGATTTTTTCTCAAAATAATAATAATATTATCGAATAAAAAAGTATGTTGACAGTATGAAATAAAATACATAACAACATACGTCCGGTAACTCTTTTCGCAGTACTCGTTTAGAAATTAAAGACTCGGCTACCTACTCGTCCTGAAACATATTACTCGTACTGTAAAATTTGAGCTACCGGACCGGACCGTATTTAGAATAACTTTAATTACCATTTATGTTTTCATCAACACTAACAAATATTTAAAATAACAAGTAATAATTTGTTTGTATTGTTTATTCATTATAATAATTCCATTTATTCACCAGAAACTTTTAAACGAAATAAAACCTACTTGGCTAGAAATAACGGCAAATTTGTGTTAGGCTCATCTGGCAACGTTGCAAATTATTTAAATGGTGACTATGAGATTTTCAGAGATATGTAAAAGACTCTTTTACATATCTCTGGAGATTTTTACACATTTTTTCGTCGCCCTCTATCGAGTGGTAGATTCATTAAATATATTATTTGTGTGATTTGTGTTACCTATGCGCGTGATTGGTGTCCAAGCTTTTCGCCGGCGTTTGACGGCCGACCGTTGGTGCGCCATCTCTTGTTCGCCGGCCGTTGGCCTGTTCGCTCCAAACAATAGCATGGGTCTATCTATATGTATTTAATCAATGTATTGAGCTTAATTAAACTCTGTTTCCAAATATCTTTAGCAACACTTTAGATGGTAAAACGCTCCCAAAAATTGGTTAATCGTCCCACCAACAATTTGATGACCCAATGTCCAAAACTTACAGTACTAAATGTGTTTTTATTTTTATAAAATAAGGTACACCTGTGGTGTATGAATCCGTGTTGAGTTCTCACCCCAGACATATAAATTTTTGGAAAAAAGTAAAATTGTACAATATTTGGAATTTAAGTTGGAAACTGCAAAATTGAATGCTCTGAAAACGTTTATCGTAATCGTAGTAAATCGTTAATAAAAATTTATTCGTTTAACCGCTCCTAAAAAAATTGATGACGTCATTTCAAATGAAATATGCAAAATATTACGACTTTCTAGAATTACTTGTATCTCAAAAAAATTAACGAAAGTTTGTTGTATTGTTTAATGAATGATTAAATCAATAAATACTCCCAAAAATTTGCAAAAATGTTGATGACGTCATCACCAAATTTTCTAATGGAAACATTCTTTACAAATTACTTTAAAATTACAAAATTATCTTTATTTTAACATATAGGGGTTTCAATAAAAAATAAAATTCTCAAAATCAAATCTTTCATTGTGCAAAAACTCTGGATTTAATTACTTTGGAACTATTTTTTGATACCTCAATTTTTCCTTTCTTCATTTGCTTGAATTTTTCAATATTTGCATTTTTCAATGTTCGGATTTATAATTTTTGTTTTTCCAACTTTTAATTGTTTAAATTTTTCAATTTCTCCACTTCCAAAATTTTCAATTTTCGCAATTTTTCAATTTCGCAATTTTTTGATATAACCTACAATTTTTCATTTTTCGATTTATCAGTTTTTCATTTTTCGATATTTCAATTTTTCAAGTTCCTGATTTTATTTTACATTTTTCCAATTTTTTAATTTCAGTTTCTGAATTTTATATCACAATTTTTATTTTTTCATTTTCTTTATTTTTCGATTTTATGCTTTTTGTTCATTCAGTTCTGCAATTTTTCGATCTTTGAATTTTCATTCCTCGATTTTCCAATTTTTGGATTTCGCAATCATCCGATTTTCCCATTTTTTTAATTTTCAATATTTTGACCCAGTAACTCGTTTTTCGTTAATTCGCAATTTTTCAATTTTAAAGTTTCTCAATGTTCAATGTTTTGATTTTCAGTTATTTGTTTCTTCAATTTTTGAAGCTCGTGATTTCCATTTTTTAGATTTTTCAAAGTTTTCATTATATACTTTTCACACTTTCGGAAATTGTTCATTTTTTTTTTCGAAAAGTTAAAATTGAAAAATCGAAAAATGAAAAATTGAAAAATAAAAAATCGAGAAGTTAAAAATCGGAAAATATTGAGATTTGGAAAAATTGGAAATCAAAGAACTGAAGAAACGAAAAATCGAAAAATTGGAAAGAAGAAAAACGATTCAAAATTGATTTAATATTGATGGAAAAACTAAAAATCGAAAAATTAAAAAATCCGAAAATTGAAAAATTTCACATTGAAAAAAAAACATTATTAAATCAGAAAAACAGAAAAAAAGAAAAAATAAAGAAAATAAAAAACCGAAACGAAAAATTGCAAATCGAAAATTGGAAGAAATGAAAAGTTAAAGAATCGAAAAATTAAAAATTGAAAACTCGAGAAATATTAAATCAAAAAATTGCAAAATCCAAAAATGGAAGTAACAACAAAAATGAAACATTGAAAAATCGCAAGCCGAAAAATTGACGAAACGAAAAATTGAAAAAAACTAAAAATAGAAAAAACAAAATTATAAAATCGAAAGATTGGAAAAAAAATCGAATTACGTATTGAGAAAATTAACAAAATAAGAAACCGAAACGAAACGAATTGCAAAATTAAAAAGTCGAAAAATTGAAAAACTGAAAACTCGAATAATTGCAAATCGAAAAACTGAAGAAATAAAAAAGAATGAAAAATTTTTAATTTCACTTACTGGATTTTATATGGCAATTTTTATTTTTTTTCATTTCCTTTATTTTTTTCAATGTATTTTCGATTTGATGCTTTCTGGTTCATTCAATTTTGCAATTTTTCTATCTGTGACTTTTCATTCCTCGTTTTTCCAATTATTGGATTTCTAAATCGTCCGATTTTCCGATTTCTTTAATTTTCAGTATTTCGACTTTACAGTGTTTCGATTTTGAAATTTCTCAGTTTTTAATCTTTCCATTTTTCAATTTGTCGTTTCTTCAATTTTTCAAGTTCCTGATTTCCAATTTTTAGATTTTTCGAGATTTTCATTTTATGCTTTTTCGTTTTTTCATTTGTACTTTATAATTTCGCAAATTGGAACAGTTTAAAAATCGAAAAATTAAAAATTTCCAAAAAAGAAGAAACGAAAATTCGAAACATTGAAAATCTAAATATCTAGAAATTTAAAAATCGAAAAATTGGAAAGAAGGAAAAACGAATCGAAACGAAAAATTGGAAAACCCAAAAATTGTGAAATCTAAAAGTTATAGAATGATTAAAATTGTAGAGTCGAAAAGCTGTAATTTGAAAGATGGACAAATTGAGAAATTAAAAATCGAAAAATTGAAAAATTTCACATTCGAAAAAAGAATTAGAAAATGAGAACATTGAAAAAATAAAGAAAATAAAAACGGAAATGAAAAATTACAGAACAAATATTTTAAGAAATGAAAAGTTAAACACTCCAAATAATAAAAAATTCAAAATTGAAAACTCGAGCGATTTTAAATAAAAAAATTGCAAAATGTAAAAATGAAAGAAGCAACAATATTGAAAAAATTATAAAAACAAAAAATTATAAAATCGAAACATTGAAAAATCGAATAATAATTGAGAAAATTAAGAAAATAAGGAGCCGAAATGAAAAACTGCAAATGAAAAATTTAAAAGGGAAAATTGAAAAACTGAAAACTCGAATAATTGCATATCGAAAAGATGAAGAAACAAAAAAGAATGAAAAATTGAAGAACTCAAATATTTATGCTACTGGTTTTTACTTTATAGAGGTTATCAGAAAACAAAAATTGCAATTTTTTTTTTAATTTTCCGGTGAAACGGTATTTGTTAAGTTCAGCAGCGAAGGAAGGCGATCAATTTTTTCAAAAATGCATTCGAAACAACGACGACGTAACTTTGCCTGCTCATTCCCACCAACACTGTGATGACGTCATCTTAATATTTTGCTTAGTAAACGCCTTAATATCCTTGGATAATTTTTTAAATTGTTCATAGAAAATAAAATCAATAATGATAAATTAATTATAGTTAGTTTTTAAAGTTTTTGTAATAATGTCTCATTCTTACCCCACTTAACGTTTTTTTCTTATTTTAAACGCAGTGGCAAGTACTTAACTTACTTGAGCATTAAGCCACAAAAGCTATTACATTCAGTCTCGAGTAAATTCTCTTTTAATCTGAACCTGAACTTTTCCACCCATTGTCGTTCCATAAAATATGGAAAACTCCTATCCCTAAGTTTTCCAAACAGATGATAATTCAATAGAAACTTATACACGATTTCATGATCGCTAACTACAGGAAGAGCCGAACAATTTTTCTTGGCATTCTTCCAACAAGAACTCCACTTTCCTCCGCCGAAAAAACTTTCGCCGTTATTACTGGTTAAAGAAAAGTGTATGATAATGGGAATAGTTGTGGCAGTTGTGCTTCTATCAATGACCCAAAATTAAATAGAGGCTCGTGACGTGCAGGTGGTTTCTTTCGTCCCGTCTGCTGCGAAGGGGGCGGTTTTGTCCGTTCCTATTCGATTAGGAAAATGGTGCATCCGTCTGAAGTTGTTCGCTTTAATTGTGAATTGCCGGCCTTGTTCGTTTAACTTTATTTCAGTGGCGTAGTTTTAATGTAATTGTTTTGCTTTGTTACAGATACAGTGGTGGCTTTGTGCGGTCAACGAACAGGTTATAATAGTCAAAGATGTCCAGTAGAAGTCTGAGTTTTGCGGCATGCACTGTTACCATCATCCTGGCCGTCGCGGTTTCATACACACAAGGTGGGTCATTTGCTTCCAACGTGATAATGCGGGTTATTACTGGATACCAGTCGGATTATCTTGTTGTGGACACATTGTAACGATATGTGGGTTATTAATTATAAAGATGATGTTAAAAATTAACAAACGTTTTTTGACTTTCGTGTGTAGCTACAAAATAAAAAAATTGCTTTTCCATTTCATTCACTGAAGACTCAGCGATGAAAATTGTTTCAAAAATTCTTTACTTCCAAGATTAAATTTGTAGAACGGTTAATAGCGGTACAGTTTCATTTTTTCTTGCTTTCAAATTTACAAAATACAAGCTTCTCTTGGTGATGGAAATAATAAGAGTCTTCTTTTGCTGTTGATAGTAATAGATCAGTTAAGGTTCGGCTGTGAAACTTTGCTACATTAGTGTATTTTGCAACCAATGATTGTTATTAAAGTAGGTAATCGTATGACATTTAACTGTTTTGTGCAGTGAGTGTCAGATCTTACTCTTATTTTATAATAATAATAATACGAATTACTTATTAAAAAAAAATTAGTTTAATTATTTTACAATTTTTCGATATTAAGGGTATCCGAATTTCATTGTTTCCATTTTCGAATTTTTTGATCTATTTCAAAATTTCTATGTCGAATTTTCCATATTTTTGATTTTTCAGTTTCATAATTGTACACTTCTTCGATTTTTCAGTTCTATATTTTTACAGTTTTTCGAGTTCTCAATTGTCCACTTTTTAATGAATCAGTTTTTCAATGTTTGATTTTTCAGTTACCAGATTTTCGATTTTTCGGATTCTCGTGTTGGAACACCTTTATTTACTTAGAGGGTACCTACTTAATTTACCACAATCAATCTTAGCTGGTACTAACCTCGCCCACCAGCCATCTATTTTCGTAGACGTATGTCGTTTGGCAAGATCAGTCTTATCTTAGCAAAATCTATCCCCACCCACCCGCCCTCTATTTTCCTAGAGGATATGTTATTTGCCAAAATCAGTCTTACATTAGCAGGCGCTAGCCCCACCCACCCACCCTTTTTTTCTTAGAGAGTGTGACATTCTGACATTTGCCAAAACCAGCCTTATCTTAGCAAGAACTAGTCCCTCCCACCAGCCATCTATTTTCTTAGAGGGTACGACATTTGCCAAAATCAGTCTTATCTTAGTAAGAACTAGCCCCGCCCACTCGCCCTCTATTTTAGAAGATATGTCATTTGCCAAAGCCAGTCTTATCTAAGCAGGTACTATCCCCGCCCACTCGCCGTTTATTTTCTTACAGGGTATGTCATTTTCCAAAACCAGTTCTATCTCAGTAAGTGCTAGCACCGCCCACCCGCGCTTTTCAAATTCTAACAGCTAATTTTATTTCCATTCAATATCAGATCCACCGTTCATTCTGACCACATAAAATCGTTCATTGAAATACAGGCGGGGTGGGTGGGCGTGGTTAATTATTTCTTCTGTCGTGTGGGACTGGAAACTAATTGGATCTAGGATGTGAAAAAAGTAAAAAAAGCGCTGTACGTAACTTTTTTGTTTACTATTTGCTATAAGATTATTTCATTTTCTTACTTCAGAAGAAAAAAAAATGAAAGAACGGGTGGGTGGGCGAGCCTAAGTTTAATTTTTCCTACAGTGTCTTATAAGCAAGCAATAGTCTTATCCAGCCACCTACCCGCCCCCATTTCCCACCTTTTTGCATTTCTCAATTATTCGATTTTCCGATTTCTTTAATTTTCAATATTTCGATTTTTTTGAAATTTCTCAATTTTTTCTATCTTGACTTTTCAATTTTTCATTTTTTCGATTTTTCAAGTTCTTTATTTCCAATTTTCAGACTTTTCCAAATTTTCATTTTATACTTTTTCGTTTTTTCATTTTTATTCTACACAAATTTTCCTTTTTTTTTGGTATTCGCAAAATTTTCAAACTCAAATCTTTCATTGTTCAAAAAATTTGGATTTATTTACCTTCGAACAATTTTTTGATATGTATCACATTTTTTTTTTTTCTTCATTTGCTTGAATTTTTCAATCTTTGTATTTTTCAATGTTTCGGAATTTTTCGATATTACAATTTTCATAATTCGATTTTTCAGTTTCTGAATTTTTTATTTTTCGATTTTCCAATTTTTTAAATTTTATTTTCTGGACTTAATATCACAATTATATTTTTTTTTTATTTTCTTAATTTTTTTCAATGTTTTTTCGATTTGATACTTTTTTTCAATCATTGAAATTTGTTTACTGGTTGCTATAAGATCATTTTATTTTCTTATTTCAGAAGAAAAAAAAATGAAAGAACTCCTAAGTTTGACTTTTTCCTACAGCGTCTTATAAGCAAGCAATAGCCCTGTCCAGCCACCCCACCCGCCGCCTTTTCACTCAAGTAACTATCCTTGATATTGTTAATCAATAACAACATTAACATTTTATTAGAATCTTAGGAAAATTCATTAAACTATTGGCGAGAAAATAAATAAACTGTTCAACAGAGTATCTAGAAGGTATTAAACTGGTGTTAAATCAGCATATCAGACGTGGGAATCATATTTAAAGAACAATATAACCTTTACTCCTCCCACTCGCACAAGCTCCACCCACTTTAATAAATCATTTCATTAGCTCGGAGAAGAGGGGCGGCGATTGTAACTGTCTACTTTATGTGATTTTGTATTAGTTAAATATAATCGTTGACAAGTTGTTTTTCAAAAAAAAAAAAAAAATTGTAAAAAATGAAATTAAAAAAAAATGTCATACTAGATTCTGTTATGTGTTAATATACAATTCAAATTCTGTCGAAGAACCAATAAAATGAGTGGGCGGGGCCTCTTTTTACTTTTATTTAAGTCTACCGCGTGTTAAGATACAATTTAATTCCCATTTTACACTAACTAAAATAAGTCAGTGAAGTGGATAAAGGGGGTGACCGGGGCTGAGTTTAAGCTTTCTTGTACATAGTCTTATAAGCAAACAGTAGCGCCACCTACCCACCTCGTCTTCATTCCAATGACCACTCTTAAGAACTAGCAAGAACTAGTACCGCCCACCCGCCCTCTATTTTTCTAGAGATATGTCATTTCCCAAAGCCAGTCTTATCTAAGCAGATACTAGCCTCGCCCACCCGCCGTTTATTTTCTTAGAGCCATTTGCCAAAACCAGGTCTAAGTACTAACTAGCCCCGCCCACCCGAGCTTTTCAAATTCTAACGGTTAATTCTATTTGTATTCAGTTTAAGATACACCGTTCATTCTGACCACATAAAATCATTCATTGAAATAGAGGCGGGGTGGGTGGGCGGAGTTAATTATTTTTCTGTCGTCTCGTCTTCAGAAAAAAAATGAAAAAACGGGTGGGTGGGCGAGCCTAAGCTTCACTTTTTCCTGCAGCGTCTAATAGCAAGCAATAGCCCTGTCCAGCCACCTACCCGCCCCCTTTTCACTCTAGTGACTATTCTTGATATTGTTAATCAATGACAACATTAACATCTTATTAGAATCTTAGGAAAATGCATTAAACTGTTGGTGAGAAAATAGATAAATGGTTCAACAAGATATCTAGAAAGTATTAAACAGGTGTTAAATCAGCATACCTGACATGGGAATTATATTTAAAAAACAATAGAACTAATACTCCTCCCACTCGCACAAGCCCCACCCACCTTAATAAACCATTTCATTAGCCCGGAAAAGAGGGACGGCGATTGTACTGTCTACTTTATGTGCTTTTTTCATTATTTAAATGTAAACGCAGACGACAAAGTTGTTTTTCGAAAAAAAAAGGTAAAAAATAAAATTAAAAAAAAGTCGTCCTAGTTTCTATTATTTGTTAATGTAGAATTCAAATTCCGTCTCTTTTTGGATTAAACAATTAAATAAGTCAGGGAAATGGATAAAGGCGGTAAGCGGGTCTGAGGTTACGCTTTTTTCTATACAGTCTTATAAGCAAACAGTAGCGCCACCTACCCCTCCTCTTTACTCCGATGACTACTCTTAAGAACTAGCAAGAACTAGTACCACCCACCCGCTCTCTATTTACCTAGAGCATACATTGTTTGCCAAAACGAGTCTTATCTTAGCAGATACTAGTCCCGCCCACCCGCCCTCTATTTTCTTGAGGATATGCCATCTACCAAAATCAATCTTATCTTAACAAGTAGTAGCCCTGTCCCTCCGCCGACTTTTCACTCTAACAACTAATTTTATTCTGCTATTCAGTATAAGATCCACCATCCATTCTGACCAGATAAAATCATTCATTGACATACAGGCGGAGTGGGTGGGCGGGGTTAATTATTTTTTCTATCGTGTGGGAGTGGAAACTAATTGGATCTAGGATGTGAAAAAAGTAAAAAAAGCGCTGTACTTAAGGTTCTTGTTCACTATTTGCTATAAGATTTTATTTTCTTACCACAGAAGAAAAAAAATTACAGAACGGGTGGGTGGGCGGGCCTAAGTTTAACTTTTTCCTACAGAATCTTATAAGCAAATAATAGCTTAGTCCAGCCGCCTACCCGCCCCCTCTTCACTCTATTGATTATTCTTGATATCGTTAATCAATGACAACATTATTATCTTATTAGAATCTTAAGCAAATCAAATTGTTCAACAAGGTATTTAGAAAGTATTAAACTGCTGTTGAATCAGCATACCAGACGTGGAAATCATTTTCAAAAAACAATTTAACTGCTACTCCTCCTACTCGCAAAAGCTCCACCCACCTTAAATCATTTCATTGGCCCGGAGAAGAAGGACGGCGTTTGTAATTGTGTCTACTTCAACTACTTACATGTGATTTTTTAATTATTTAAGTGTAAACGCTGACGGCAAAGTCGATTTTCGAAAAAAAAAAATAAACAAAATTTAGTAAAAAAAAAAATTCCTAGATTCTGTTATTTATCATCATAAAATCCAAACTCCGTCGCCTGGCCAATAAAATGAGTGATCAAAACGGAGTAGTAGTGGGTGGCCAGGGCCACTTTTGCTTTTGTTTGAAGTCTTAGATTCTACCA